CTTACCAGAAAGCCGTTAAAGGTTTCTGCTGGGAAAACGTCCCCTCGTTGCCGCCTGGATTCCGAGTGGAGCTCAGGTAAATAATTCCTTTCAGGCTGTGACCGACCACGGGGGCAGTCAGGCTGTCCTGGCTCGGTGGGAAAGACACAGCCCTGAGCAGACGACGCTTCTGTCCGTGCTCAGCCTTTGTGGTCAGCGTACAAACCCTCAGTGGGGTTTTTTGGAGGATTGGGGTTTTTTTGTTGTTGGCTTTTAGTCGTTTTTTTTTTTTTTCCTCCAGAACAGCCCAGGGAGACCTGTTATTTTTCTTTTTATCCATCCGCTCTCCCACAGACAGTTTTTGCTGGGGTTACCTCTCGCCTCGCAGTTGACACTAACCAAGTTCTGCCGACACCTTCCCTCGGCTGGTAATAAATCAGGTTTTAACTCCGCGCTTGCCTCGGGCAAGCTGGATTTCGGAGCCTCAGGAAACAAATTTCTGTTGGATGCATTCCTGGAGAGTGCCTTTGAGACGGGAAGGCAGGTGAGGGGAGGAGTCTCGCTTGTTCAGGGGAAAAACACAGCTTGATAGATGCACTCGATGATCTTGAAGATCTCTTCCAACTCAACTCTGTGGTTCGTGGATGGTTTTGTGGCAGCGCTGGCTCAGTGGTCGGACTCGACCTTAAAGGTCTTTTCCAACCAAAATGATCCTGTGGTTCACACAGACAGGGCTGAGGTCGGGTTCGCGGGTCGTCACGTTGTCTTTGGGGTTGTCACTGCGAGTTCAGGGCCGCCCACGATCACCGACAGCCGGTGTTTTCTCATGTTTTCCCTTCCCAGCCTCGCCAAGCTTCTCACTGTGATGTTGTTGCAGGATGTGATCGGCGGGGCGCTGATCTCGGCGGCGCTGCTCGTGCTCTTGTACCCGGCGTGGGACGCGATCGATCACCTGCTGTTAACCAGCCCCTTCTGCCCGCTGATTTCCATCGTTGTGCCTCTGCTCTTATGTTACAACTACCCCAAGCTGGACTACTACAGCCCCACCAGGGGAGACACCACCACTATCTTAGGGGCAGGAGCCGGAGCGACTGGGGGGTTTTGGTTAAACAACACGTCCGACGCGCCAGCCTACACG